GAAAAAACCAAATGTATGACAACATCTAAATACCCACTACGATGTAAAATCAAAATTGATGGAAAGATAATAAAGCAGGAAGCAAGGTTTAGATATCTGGGAATAGATATAACTAGTTACGGAGATGTTGAAGAGGAAGTACGACAACAAAGCTTAAAAGTAAGTAAAGCGGCGATATCTCTTAATGACACAATCTGGATGAACAAACACCTAAGACAAGACACAAAAACAAGAATCTATAAAGCAGCAATTAGACTTATATTAACATACACGGCGGTGACAACACCTGCCACATCTAAAACGAGACGACTACTAGAAACAATAGAGATGAAAATACTCCGACGAATATCAGGGAAAAGGCTGTTGGATAGGGAGAGAAGGGAAAACATAAGAAGAGCATACAATAAAGAAGACATAAATGGATGGGTGAAAAAACGGAAACAGAAGTGGAACGAACACATTAGTAGAACGGCAGAGAATAGGATAGTACGAATAGCACGAGATAAGTCACCAAATGGACGAAGAAGTATTGGCACACCGAGAAATAGATGGTGCGACAATTTAAAGCATTTAGGAGGCTAATATTGAAGAAGAAACAGGCTTTAAAACCTACATACAAGAAGGAAGAAGAGGACTTAACAGCTATAACATTTGATAAATATATAGAAAAAAACATGCGATACATATTGACATAATATACATAAAATATAAAAGTTATACATTCCGGGGTTTGAGTCAATGGATTCATTGATGGGGAAGGTGGTTTTAAGGATTACCTTAGTTGGATTTTTCCTGTATCTGTTGGATTTTATAGGACATATATTGACATATATTGTAAGGCGTGAAACCGGTAGCCCAAAATTTACCATCATTAAATAGTAAAAACTACTTGAGATTGTGAGTATTGACTAATTTCCCATTATGGACCCACATTGGTAATCTTTTCAAGTATTTTAATTTTACGTGCTTTGCACTTTAATGACAATACAGAAATCCATCAGAGCAAGCTGTGTAAAATATTCACATTGTTCCATTTCTTCAAAATAGAATGGATATTATTTATTATCCAAAAAGAGAAATAAGCATAGATGAATCATTAGGTTTATGGCGAGGAAGGTTGACATTTAGGCAATATGTTGAAGGTAAAAGACATAAGTTTGGAATGAAGTTGTACATGTTAACAGAACATTCTGGGCTTATTTTAAAATTGATAGTCTATGCTGGAGCAGAATATCCCATACTTGCAGGAAGGAATCACACACAAAAGGTATAGTAGTACTAAAATTAATGGAGGGCTATATGAACGTTGGACATGCCTTATTTACTTATTGATAACTTCTATAATAGTATTGAGTTGACTAGACAATTATTTTAAGTTCAAACTTACGTTACAGGTACCTATTTTAAAAAATGACCAAATCTCCAGGAAGTGATGTCAAAAAAACTAAAACAAACATGAAGTAGCCAGTGTGTACAGTCCTGAAAGCATATGTGTATTTGGTGATCAGATGGTAAGAAATACTTCAAGAAGAGGAATAGTATCTGAAAAACCTAAGTGAATCGCTCAATCTAACAAAAACAAATAAAGAATAGACTTAAGTGATCAAATGCTGAGCTACTATACCTGTAAACATAAGAGGCTAAGGTGGAACAAAAAATTAGCAGTGCATATCTTTAACTCATATTACTGAATGCTTATTTTCAATATAAGAGCAGAAATCAAAAGATATCCCTTTACGATTTTAGACTTTCAGTTATTGAGAATATTTTAGGACCAAATCCAAACGATCCATCCACTAGTTGCAAAATCATTGGTGATGCATTTACCACACAATTGTCCAAAAGGTGCTGATGGGAAAACAAAAAGAAGACGCTGCAAATATTGCTGGAACACAACTAAAATTGGAAAAGATACTCTTCATTATTGTCCGCAGTGCCTAGAAGAGCAGAAAACTGTTTAATTGTTTCACGAGATTCTAACTGCTGAAAATTAGTGTTAATTATTCATTGCACCCACAGACTTGGGTTTATATTTCATTTTTTTATTATTATTTTGTATTCATCTTTATTTTAATCTACTTTCAACTTTGTGGTCAAGTATGTACAAATTTTATAAATATGTACTTAGATAATATTACTTGTTTCGTGCTATGAACTCTAGAATGTGCAACCTAAGACTAAGGGAAACATTTTTTAATTATAGTATCTTAAATGTGCATGTCCCTACCGAGGAAAAGGAAGACGATGTCAAAGAAAAATTCTATGAAGAACTAAAAGCTGCATACCATTCATGCCCAAAAAATGGCATCAAAATTATTTATGGTGATCTCAACGCAAAAATAGGAAAAGAGCAACAATACCTAGCAACTATAGGTAAGCACAGCCTTCATGAGATATCCAATGACAATGGCATCAGACTAATAAATTTACCAACTTCCCTTAACATGGTCATTGCCAGCACATTCATAAGGGAACGTGGAGATATCCAGATGGAGTTACAGTAAACTTGATCAATCATGTTATTATTGACTCTAGACTATCACTCGACGTAATAAACGACGTAATAAACGTATGCAGCAGACGAGGTGTAAATGCAGACTCGGATCACTACCTAGTGGAAAGTAGAATAAGAGCCAGAATCTCAAACATTAAAAGAGAAAAGGGATCCATAATTGAAAAATATGAAATAAAAACTTAGCAGACAACAAAAAGGCAAAATACAAAGAATATATAAAAGGAAGGCTAGAAAACAGACAAAAGCACGAGGATATAAGCAGAGAATGGGAAGCATGTAAAAACATCATACAAGAAGCGGCCAAAGAGACCCTGTGTCTACAAAAAAGCACAAATCAACTGAAGGACAGTGGTTTGATGAAGAGTGTCATAACATAACAGAAAGGAAAAATAATGCGTATCAACGACTACAACGACATAGAACACGAAAAGCAGATGAGGAATATAGAATGCTAAGTAGGGAAGAGAAGAAAATTCATCGCAGAACAAAAAAGAACACATAGAAAAAGAACTAAAACTAAAACACAAGAAATGGAATCACTAAATAAACCATCAGAAACCAACAAAATTCTACCTAAAACTTAACAGAAGTAGAAAATAATTTAAACCGAGAACAATGATGTGCAGAGACAAAGAAGGAGATATAGTAACTCAACAGAGTGAAATACTACAAATATGGACAGAATTCTTCAAAGATAAGTTTACAAAAAAAGATCCATTATGTATATGATGAAATTATACTGGATCAAACGGATATCAGAGAAAAGTCACCTGGATTAGAAAACATTAGCGCTGAATTATTAAAGGAAGGCGGAGACTCCCCATTGAATGAGATACATGAACTAATAGTGAACATATGGAATAATAAACAACTGCCACAACACTGGAATAAAGGAGGAATTATCCCACTACATAAAAAGGGAGATCAGCTTCAATTTAAAAACTACCGAGCAATTACGCTACTAACTGTGGCATACAAACTACTGTCAAATATTGTGTATGACTGATTGAGACCATATGGGGAACAAATAGTTGGGGATATCAATGCAGTTTCTGAAGGCTGAAGTCCACAATAGATCAGATCTTTGTCTTAAGGCAAATCTTGGAAAAGACTAGTGAATTTAATATAGACACACATCTTCTTTTCATTGATTTTGACAGTGCCTATGATAGCATTCATCGAGAGTTTCTGATCCATGCACTGAAAGAGTTTAATATTCCAACTCAACGCATTGAATAGTAAAAGAAGCACTTAAAGTACAAAGCAAAATTCGAATTCAAAATGCACTAACAGATACAATCCATGTGAGAATAGGCCTACGACAGGGATATGCCCTATCCTGTATTCTATTCAACATCACATTAGAGAAAATAATTAGTCAAAAGCCAACACCAGAGGAACAATAATAACAAAAAGTGTATAAATATTGGCATTTGCAGATGATGTTGATATCATAGCTATGAGCGAAAGAGAAATGATAGAAGCATTTAATGCGATAGAAGGAGTAGCACAAAACAGTGGCCCAAACATTAAGAATATAAAAACCAAACACATGAAGACCAGCAAATCGACAGACCAAAGAAACCTATAGAATCTGACAATAGAAGACTATAACATCGAAAGCGTGAAAAATTTCTCATGTATAGGTTCACTAGTTACCGCAGATAACAATGTCAGTGAAGGTTAAGAGCAGAATATCTACATATAGCTAATAAAACATGGAATGCACTAATTAAATATCTAAAATCTAACAGCATCACAAGAAAAACCAAATGCAAAATATACAAGACCCTGATAAAACCAGTCCTTGTATAAATATGGATCAGAGACATAGACACTGTCAAAAAATCCTTACAGTAACATGTTAACTTTAAATTTAAGTTGAAACAAAAAAAATATTGTGTTCTATAATAACATGAGTCATGTAATGGAAACTTGTTACATGTTACAAAGCTAATTGGCATGTTAACATCAACATATCTTATGGGAGACGAATATGTCGATATTGATAACTTGCAAAACCAGACATGTCCAAATTTTATTAAAAAAAAAACTCGGATGCAATAGATTTATGGTCACCATTAATCAGGTGTAGAAATAACCAAACAAAAATAATATACTTTGACGCAGGTTATTTTAAAGAGAAATAAGATTTCTATTAGTTTTTTTCAGTTTTACTTAAAATTAGTTTAAATGGACATGTAGGGTTTTGAATTTATACAGCTGATTTCAATGTTCATCCTAAGCATCTTATGTTTATTGGCTTAACCTCTATTCCTTATTTCACATATATATTCTTTTCTTGTTACGAAATATGTAGTCTATTTCAGAATGATTTTATCCACTTTTTTATGTGCTAAGTTGGCTTTTGAAGTTTATATTTAGATATTAAGCATAGTATTTTTCATTTTTACTTTTTGTAGGGATGTAAGTTGTAACTTCAACAGTAAAAATAAATATTTTGTTGGAAATAATACACAATAGTAACATACTTCAAAGATTTATTATTTTTTTCTCCATTATTTTTTTTCTTGGTACAGACATTTATTTGATTTTATAACTAAATCCAAACAACACCCACAGAAGAAGAGAACAAAGTAAGTAATTAGTACTTTATATAAAAAATTTTTGTAAAAAGTGTCATGTCGGATATTGTATATACTGGGATATGAAGTTCTTTTCTTCCATGTATATCGTTTACAAATCTAGACATATTAGTATGGAAGTACATAAATCTTATGAAGACTTCTATTAAAAATGTATAAAAATTCCCACATATCTAACAAATCTATATTAATTTGAGATCAGATTGTGTTCTTAGTATATTTGGTAAAGAAGTTTTAATACTGAACAAATCACACTTACATAGTGAATTACATATGTACAGTACACTTAAAGATTCAAACTAAATGGTAGCATAACATATGCAATAATATTTAGTCAGGGTACTGTACACACATATCCCCCCATGTACTTTTTCAGTTCTGAACCAAATATCAGCTGAACGCACCTATTCTATAAAAATAAAATTCGTATCGAACTAATATCACAAAAAATATGAATATAACACTTTTATAATCTGCACACCTATATCACAATTTTAGAATTTTTAAAATTACCAAAAACCTTAAAAACTCTTTTATATCTTACACATACAACTCAATGTTAACTAACTTGATAAAGAAACAAACAATTACAACTAATGATATAGTTATGAATACAAAAACGTGAATGAAATAAAAAAAAATTTCGAGATACTCGTAAATGTAAATGTGTACGTATATGAGTGTGAATGATCACATATTATTATCAAAAATCAGTCGAGTTAGTAACTCGAACGATACAGTTGCTTCTTGGTAAGTCCATATTCCGAACTTATCATAAGTGCTCCAGAATTTGTGATTTTTCTGTAACAAAGAAAAACAATAATTAGTAAACCAGTTTGTACAGGTCATATTTATGGTTAAACATACTGTTAGAAAAGGTAATTCTATAGTTAAGAAGAAACAAACAATTTGATCAAAAATGCATGTCCTCAAATGGTGACATGGTGAAAACTAACAATTGTATGTATAGGATCTACTAATATATTAATAAATGATGAAATTATACAAGGAAACTAATGAGCAAAAAAAAAAACAAAATGAAAAATAAAAAAATATGAATACATAAAATGTAAACAAAGACTTGAAACTAGGAATAAAACCAAAATTCAAATGAACAAACAAGAAAGAATTACGAAGAGCTCAGCATACCAAAATTTTTGTATACAATTGAGTTTGGAGCAATAGCAAATTCGTTAAATACATTTAGTTGCACAAATGAAAGATACATTAGAATATCAAAAGCTAAGTTGATGATGTAGATGGAACGAAGCTTATCAAGGAACATTTAAGATTTGGTTCAAGGGAAAGTAATGCTAAAGTGATACTTACTTAAGAAACTGTGGCAGAAACGAATTCCATCCAGTGGTCGCCTGCTTCAGCGTCAAGTACACTTCGAAGGTAGAAGGAGTCGAAGCATCGCACTTGACCTGGCTTAAATTCGTCTTGAGATCATTGTTCTCAAAGTCTATATACAAAGTGCACCCCCGAAGTCCACAAGGTTCAGAATCGGCCAAGTAAAAAAGATCTTTGGCTATCGAATGCGTCAGTCCATTGGGAAGAAGTACTTCTCCTACCGAAAGATGGGTTCTCTTTGCAGTCCTAAGCTCTCCTTCGAGACGCTTAGATAAAGCTTCTATCAGGGACGTCTCTTCTAATCGGAAAAATTCATTATATTCTGGTTCACAGCCTGAAAACAAAATAAAATCGTAAATAAATGTTATAAAAATAATAAAACTTTTCATAAATGATTATCTTCCTTTAATCGATCTTTTTTTTATTTAAAATTACTTTTTCTACCAAGACTATAATATACTATTAGTCACCTGATAGTATTTGTTTATTTTTCAATTTCTGTTGTTAGAGTCAGGTGTGTAAAGGCAATCCCAAGTTTTCTTTTGTGTGCCTTTTACGACAGGTTCGTCAAAAGAATAAGGGACGGAAGATCAGGTAATCTTATTTCTCGCTTTAACAATGGATCGGTGGTTTTATAAAAATGAACAGGTAGCTACTGTGTTGAGATATACGTCTTTTGTAGTAATTTATTCAGCGCAATCTTTAACATAATCACATTAATCACTATTTCTCAGGTAATAGCGATTGAAACACACTCTCAAAACCGGTTCCAGGAGATGAACAGTAACTTGTAGAATAAATTATTCCATTTCAGCATTAAATTATCAAGCTTTCTTTTATTAAAAAAGGACTCCGGTTCATATCAGTTCCTAAAAAAGTATTCCTTTGTTCATTCAGTCCCTAATTTGTGTAATACAGATGAATCTACCCTTCGAAAAAGCAACCGGTTATAAACTCGACGCGAGAAGCATTATCCGTCTCTTTCTCGCTTGAATTATTCTGCAGGGCACGTATCTCCGAACTTGTTGCCGTGTAAAAGGAGGCGTGGTATCGCTAGTCCCGAACAAAGCCAGATGATTTGATTTATTTCACAAATGACCTCGCTTTTAAACAGCTATGAAAAAAACCAATCTTGTTTTGGAACTTGAGGTATTATTATTTAACTAAATTACATAACTAGGAGTGTTTCCTAGTCATTAAGATACGGGATCGATGATTTTTTTGCTCAAATGGATCAAACAAAAATTGTTCTGTGTAATCTCTCAAATAGTAAATATGGCCTAGTAATTGTAATTTGTAATAAAACGAATACGCAGAAAAGTGTTAGCTTTTGGGAGCATTGTACCCGCAACGAACAAATAAACAATTTCTATTACTATCAAAAGTCAAACATTTCTGCATCTACTTTTACAAATACGAGTTAAAACCAGATAATTCCATATGAAACGTCTTATCTCCTTTTCACTTCTTTCAAACAAATAAAAATATACATTACGAAAAACCCGTTCCATATCATGAATTTGTAACAACAACTGTTAGATAAGAAGTAAAAACAAATTGCTGCTTCTATATAACGAATTGGACTATATTTCTATCGATTTCATACCTTGAAGGTTACGACTGACTCATCCTGAAGACATAAAGTCTAGTTTCGTACATTGTTAAACCGACCGTAGTTCTTTAAGTTTTTGTAACACACAAAATCAGATAATAATTGCTTATGTTGACCTTCATTTTGTTCGGATCGTACAAACGCAAAGGAAAACTAACTCTTTTATTTACTAGATGAACAAAAACTAATGCTATTTTTCACCGATTTCTGTTTTTCACATATCTTATTGTAATATATTTTTAGATAAATTAAATTTTTTAACTACTATAATATAATGAACTCTAAACTAACTTTGACTGATATATTTTTGAATGTAAACTTTTGAAAATTGGCTCCTTTCCAAAGCTTTCTTTCCATGTTTTTCTCGTTAATGTACATACAAAATCTATATGAAGAACTAATGTATCGCTAAGTGTTTACTTAGTAGTCATTCGATTACTTTAATGATCGAACTTTTGCATTGCAAAATATGTAAATTTATTCAAATAAGAACGTGTGTCTATTATTTTAATTGATTGATAATCATTCTCTTTTGCTTGTCAACTATAGAAGGCTTGACTAGAATTTATAGCTTTGTTTTCGTTGTTTTTATATTTAGAATAAGTATTATACATTACCATAAATTTATATATAACTTTAAACAAGGTATATGTTAACTTTCTTTGAGTAGATACATGTAAACAACTTTTATGTGTCTCTACGAGATTTTTTGAAGCAGTATTTTCTAAAGAATAAGATTTACAACTACGAGAAGAAACAGAAATTAAAGTTTTATATGTTGCAGTTGAAAAGACATGAGAAAATCCTATTATGCAAATTGGAGAAGGATGAGAACCGAAAAATGAAAAACTAGAACATTACAATACAATACATTTATATTGACAAGAGTAGGAAGAAATGTAATAAAAAAAAGGAAAAATGAGGATTTTTATTCAAAGTATATCTGATATATGGAAGTCTTCTATTATAGAAGTCCTTTTGAATAGGTACTTTTCTAAAATCCTTTATAGAAATAATCTTAACGGGTAATGAAAAAAAAGAACAATGTATTGTGGACTTGACTAATGTATGAACTAAGACTTATTTTTTGAATTATGAAGTCTTTATAATCTACATATTCTTTCGACTTCTTAAAAAACACTTTTTCACTTATCAGAAACAGATCATCTTAGCTATAATAATTATTATGTATAAAAACATTATTTAAAGAAAATGAAATAGGTATTTTTCACATTGATAATCTTTCTCATTTTATCTACCTACTAAACTAATGTAAACTGTTGAAAACTGGGTTAAAAACCTAAAGATATCTGTAAGCTGGAAGTCAAATTTAGAAACCATTGTTATTTTCTTGACCTTATCTACCACTTATCTTTGAACAAAACGATCCAACATTTTTGAAAAATAATTATAAACAGAATGTTTAATAAAAACAACTTTATTATTCGCAATCAACAAGTTCTGATAACATTAATAACAAATTTGTATCTTCAAACGTTATCAATAAAATATAATTATGAATAAGTATTGAGATACAAGCCAACAAGTAATTAAAATGGCATAAATTTTCAAGGGAATAAAAGACGTCGAGATTGAAGAACACCCTGTAAACGCCTACTTTAACTACATCTGGAAAGCTATTAATTAATCAAAGCACAGAGAAACTCGCGCTGTTGCTAAGCGCTGCTTTCGAGGTCATCAGAGGTCACAACTACAAGCCGGTTGATCGAGAGCCGGCAGAAACTCTATGGCCTAGCTATTAGGTTAGCAACGACAATCGAATGAACTGAGAATCGATACCACAATCGAGAGCCCCGTACTCGATTCCGGCAAATGGTACTGGTGATGGGTCCGCTCAAAATCTCTTTGTTCCGGACTTACAATTTGAAAAGTCGAAAAATGTATGAAATAACCATTAACATAAAAATAGCAAATTTATAAGAAAGTTAACAATAACTTATTAAAATCACAATATAAAATAGTAATTTTCTTGAAATAAAATTAAAATGCATCTATCCCATTTTAGTTATTAAAAAAAATATCTGCTGAATGTTTTATTATTATTCTATTTAAATTATCGCAGTGTTTATTATTAAGGAATATACTATATACTGCATATTATGAGTCTACATTCATTATTATAGGTACTAGTTATTAAAGTTTAAAAAAATACATAACATTCACTAAAAAGTTAAATTTTATCAATTGCTAGTATGAAACAACAATTTTATTAGACATTAATTACATTATTATACCCTTTCTTTATTTTCGAAAAACTCAAAATTGCTATTAAAACCCTTTGTGTCAATATACTCATATTCTTTCAAAAGAATTAGTAAATTAAACATAGTAGTTACAAAAGAAAACTTGTTACTATTCAAATACATAGCTCGAGTTCTACAAAACATGTTTCTTAATCAAAATTTTGAGTTTTCCTTTGTTTGGAAATGTAAAAGACCGGCTTTCTCTGTATTGATTTTTTTTATTTGTTCCGGTGATGCAATCATAAGGACTATTTCCACCGATATACCGGAATCGAGAAGGAAAATCATTCGATTATCATTCGGAAAACATCTGACTATCAAACAAAGGATAATTAATTATGTAGGACAAAAAGGTTTTGATGATATGTTTTAATGATATTAGAAAGACATTAACTAGAAAAGTACTTAGAAATAATAAATGATCCCTAACTATTAAAGGTATAAGCTAGAAACGCGAAAAAATACAAGTTTTGACAGGTCGATCAGAACAAAGGACTGAAGGGTTTCACAAAGGGCAAAAAGGGCTTATTTACTTATAACACATTAGATTTTAGCTATTTTTGTTATTGCAAGAAGATAATCATTTATAACAATAACAGTTAACGTTAGTTAAATTTACTATCGACGTTTAGAAAATAAAATAAAAGATTAAAAAACTTACCTTCAAGACTGCTGTGCTTGATATCAACGAAGGGTAAAACTTCCATTTTAATTAAAAAGAAATGTTCAAAACACACTAAACTACAAAATTATTAAATTGATTCAATTGACCGGCTTTCTACTGCTCGAGTAAAAACACATCTACTACCTTCTATGGTTCATAGGAACTGCTTAACAAAAATCAGCTGTTCTCTTTATTTATAAAGTTGCATCACCCCTACCGGCTTCTGCCCGAAACGACTCGAACGTTTGTTCGGCTGGTTTCGACAACAGGACTACGTGATTTGGGTAGCAGCAGCTTCATCAAGCAATAAGCATCAAGATCGCCAGGGGCGTGCGTACAGCCGTGCAATTGTCTTACTTCATACATAAAAATAGAATAAATTGATAAGATTCTCGCTGTATTCGTTTTTTGATGAATTATTACTTCATTCTAGGAAATTTGAAGTATATTTTCTAGACACCTCGGAGCTGATAACGTTGAATATGTATTATGGATTCAGGCTACGTGCTTTCTGCAGCGAATTACTTTGATCTTTGTTTCTGTTGTTTAAAATAAATTTGGAGTTTGTTTACGTCATTTCGACTTCAAAATAAAATAAAATTTGAAGGTTTCAACTTGGGGTCAAGCTTTTAGACGACAGGTTGACGTAATGAACAAATAATAAATTGATTTAAAAGGGGAATAGGAAATGTTTTGTTGTTGTACAAGACAGCTTTATTGTTTCCGTTCCAATATACACGTAAATAAATTTATCGAGCATATTTTTGAAATATCTATTTAAAAATCGTTAATAATACATAAACATATTTATAATTGATCATTTTGATTCTAGTTTTTTTTATTTTCGTACTCCAAATTGCAAACATAATTTTTTACATGTTGTAATGGGTCATTTATATATTTTGTTAATATCTAACCATTCATGTAAAATATTGTAATTTATTGCCTTATAATAATACTCTATTTATAAATATTTTTCACCATGCCAGTTATCCAGAAACTTACATTAGATTTAAACGAGTTGCATCAGAAAAAATTGTAATCAAACTATGAGAATAATTAGAGGTAATGTTAGTTGGATAATTAATATTTTTAATTATTAATATCTGCTAATGTCGTGTTTAAACAAGTATTTTTTTATTTACCTACATTTTTTCACGATTTAGTAAAACTTAGTTCTGGGTTAGAAAGTTGCGTCAGAAACAAATTGAAGAAATAAAAGTGTAAATGCTAGATTAATTTCATCATACTTTTTGTAAAATTGGAAGTTTTTTCGGAGTTGAACAATTGCAGTAAATATATAATTCAATGAACAATCGAAATAAGTATTGATGTTCAATGGAATCACTTATTTCTTCTTGAATCATGAGAGTGATGGTCCGATATTTATCTTTTGCATTATTTGTCACTTTAGGAAATTGTTAAAAACTTAAGAAAAGCCAATCTTTGGGTATGTGTCTTCTTTTATATTGTATATGGTGTCACAGAGCTCTTTCAAAATACGAATGTGTTGTTCTTTAATTAATTATAACCGTTTTATAGGTATTTCATCCGGATCTGTAGCTTTTCTGCTTTTTGTGTGTCTTTTAGAATCAATTACTTTTTGTTATTATTTCTGGTCCCGTGATTTCTCCATAATCTTGTAGCTATTCTACTACGTTGTGATAAAATCGTTGTTCTACATGTTCTTCCATATTTTAAACATTTTCTTTTATTTAAGTGATAATGGTGCCTTTTTCATATCGCAAATTGATTTTAGGTTTTCCTGTAATAATTTCTTTATTCCTTCTTAACAATTCTCAATTGTATTACTTACGTTTAAATTTTCAATAATTTTTTGTGCCATCTAGTTTTTCTTTGAGTTTTTACACATATTAATATTTCCCATGTCACACTCTGCAGTAATGAATACCTGAGGTGTTCTTATTTTCTTTTGTAGGATAACAATTTCTTTAGATATTATGACTACTTTTTTGTAGAATGACGTGCAAGCTTTTTTATGTGAAAAATGCTATATATCAAGTTTTTTATTGTATACATACTTATAATTTAAATGATTTACTTCCAAGATGATATCAAATAAATTTTACTTTCTTTGCTAATTATTAACACTATCAAAGTAACTTTTTACAATCATTTTTATTTAAAATTACGGAAACATATATAAAAACATAGATGAAGTGTAATTTTGTGTTAAATGTTATAATTGCTGTTTTGCCGATTCCAAACTATTAAAACTGTTTACTTTCGTTATCGAGGCTAAAACGAGATACAACACTTCTATAAAGGTTACATAAACGAGATATAAAAATAGAAATATACAAACGGAAGAGTTTATTTTGCTTCTATAAGTTGAAATATGTTGAATTGGAATGCAAATAATAACAGTAATAAATATATATGCTTCTATATAATAAATATAATAAATAATCTCAGATTTTTATATTTGTTTTATAGACTTTTCAAAGCGAGTTTCTTTCACACACAAAATCTTGAAAAGTGCTTGTTTCTTTGTTTACAAAATTGTGTAAAGCTAAGAAAATTCAAAAACAAAAACTTCTATCTTCGATAATAACTATTTTTTAAGAAATCTAATCCACTTATTTAATTATTCTGACTTATTTTGAAGATAAAGACTATATTTTAGAACAAAGAACTCTTTGAATTATATTATAAGGCGCTAGCAGAGACGCCACTGTTTCATAAGATACTTATTATTCTTTGTATCTTGTATCCATTTTTTCTTTGAGGTGTCCACATATTGTTACTTGTCGACTTGCATTTGAAATTGAGCTTAGGTGCAAAGAATAAAAGATTATTCTTGTTTCTACAAGTTAAAATTCGCTAAAAAGCAGATACCTATAAGCTGGCAAGGATAAGTTATTATCAACATCGATTTTTTTCGGTAGCAATAGATATACGTGTTTCATCATTTTTTATCTCATAAATATGTATGATATATCCTAACTTCACGTTAGATTACTATTTTTAAGTTCTTAAACAAGAAAAAACCGTATTCTTCTTGTATAAACAGTAATATGATACGTTGTGAGCTCTTTTCAAGACAAAGAAATATTGAAGAGAACAAAGAGTAGGGCTTTAGTTCGCCTGTAAAATGGGTAAAACGTTTAGTGTGAGATCATACCTTTGTTGATATTGCTAATAATTTGCTAAAATCAGTTGTGTTACGTAGGTACTAGGTTTGTCCTGTTTTAAATCGATATAATATGTAGTTTATAAGATTAAGTAGTATCTGCAATTGCCGTTATATTCTGTTAACTGTTATAACAAATACGAACTACAAAAGAAAGGCATAGAAAAAAAATTCAAGTCAGAGACTTGTTGATCTTGTGCTGTTTGCTTGATTTTTTTTATAATGTTTCTCAAATCACACTCATTTTTTGGCAATTTTCTTGCCGTTTACCGGTTGTGGTATTATTTGGAAATATTTTATTGTGCAGTTTTGGTTCCACATCTTTATTAAGGTCTCACTTCCGTAAAACACCGTCGGTCGGATAACTATTTTTTGTATAGATAGGTATATTCGTATTTTTGTGTCTGAATATGGACAGGCTCTTGTCACGTCTCATGTTCCACGTCCTGTCCCGCGTCCCAGCCCATGTCCCGCCGTTTTTTAGTAAAAAACTTTTTTTACTAAAAATAATAGATGTTACATTTATATGTAACGCTAGGATCTTATGTAGAACTTATGAGAGTTTGTATGTAATATTATGTTATATTCCAAACAAATCATAGCGAAGTTCGCCTGAAATTCTATTCAAAGAAATACTGGACCTTGAAATAGACGACCTTCTTCCTCCTTTAGGATGATTTTGGTATATTTGTATATACCAA